TATTAAACTTAAATTAAATTATAATAAAAAAATAAATTAAAGAAATTACATAAAAAATGAGAACTTTTAAATATTTGATTTGATATTAACATTGATATTTTTTTTTTCAAATTTATATTTTGTTTAAAAATAAAATCATTATTGTTTTCTTAAAACACATAAAACATATTATAACATCGACAGAAACAAATAATAAAATATAACATTAAAGTCGAGATGTATCTCACTGCATTGCGCGAGTACCCTTCTAGTATCATTAAAACAAAAACAAATTATTTCGTTATTAAACTTAAATTAAATTATAATAAAAAAAATTAAAGAAATTACATAAGAAATAAAACTTTTAAATAGTTGATTTGATATTGTATATATATTTTTCAATAATTAATTTATTTAAAAATAAAATAATTATTGCTTTATTAAAAACACATAAAATTGTATTATAACATTGATAGAGACAAATAATAAAATAGAACATTAAAATCGAGATGTGTCTCGATGTATTGCGTGAGTACTCTTCTAGTATTATTTAATATGTTAGTAGTTTTATCTTATTTAATTTTATTGTACACGTTTGCTCAAGAATTTAAATAGATCGGTTTTTAAATGTATAATATTTATATATATAAAATAAAATTCAAACACATATTTTGATCCTTTGATCTTTAGAAAAGATCAAGTTATTAAACATCGTTGAATCAAAGACCTTCTGCAATTTAAAAAGATTGTTTGTTGCTTAAAGAATGCATCGAAAACAGTTCTCCTACGTTTATCTACTCTACATGCACAGGTGGGCCGATAAAGCTTTTGATGGATCCTATATATCCGTTTAACTTATTTTTACAGATAAAACATGTTTAGGATATGAAAGATGCATCAGGAAAACTAAAACTTTAATGGGTGCTCCGAGATATTAAAAAATACCAATAAAAAACAAAAAAAAAAAGTCTCTTGAAACCAGTCAAAAGATCTAAACAAACCTTTAAAACGATAGACGTTTGGTGGTCCACCATTGTCTCCATCGGTTGTGTTCTTGAGCAATTCTGTTTAGTTTTCAAACATTCTTTTGTTATTTCTTGTAATTCCTGTATTGAAATATTGTTGTGATTTATTCTCTTGGATTAAATCTTGTAATCATTATTATCTATAATATATTATAAAGCATTTGATAAAAACTATTAAAAACAACTTTTTATGCGTAAAATACTGTTTATTAATGCATATTACTTAAAACTCAAGATTGCAAGTAGATT